AAGTGTGCACATACTGTTGGGGGGAAAGGTGCCAATAGACTTGCTTCACGCAGGGTTGCCACAGACCTTCAATTTGTTAAAAGAAGAAAACAAAACTGCAGTACCTGTAAAGCGCAACAAAGCAAAAGAGAATACATGAGGTATGCCTGTATCCAGATTTTAGGGTTACTTTAGTCCCTATTACCCCTTTCCTTACTAATTCTACAAGAAGGAACTCAGGTCTAGATAAAGCAACAACAGTAAAGGGCTGTAAGAAGAAAAGCACACATTTAAGATACTACTATTGGTTATGGTGTTGGAAGAGAATATTGAAAGTGCCATGGGCTGCCAAAAAAACCCAATAGATCCTCCATTTTGGAAGAAGTGCAGCCAGTGTTCCTTAGAGGCCAAGATGGCCAAACTTCATCTCTCATAATTTGGACATATTGTCAGGAGGGACCAGTCGCTGGAGAAGGGTGTTTGGTAAGGTGGAGGGTCAGAGAAAAAGAAGAAGACCCCCAGCCAGATGGATTGGCCAAGTGGCAGCATCAATGGCCTCAAGTGTGGCAACACTAGTGAGGTTGGCCCAGGATTGGGCAGTGTTTCATTCTGCTGTGCATAAGTTCACTAAGGGTCGGTACAGACTCGATGGAACCTAACAGCAACAACAACAAATTGGTCAATCCTCAGCTGGGGCACAAAAAATTAAAGAAAATCAAAGACTCAACAAAATAATTAGTCTAAAGAAATCACAACTTCCACAGCCCTGAGACCCTAACAACTAAATGGTGCTCATCTACCAACAGTCACATCACAATAGAAGGTCCTAGACAGTGAAGGTTTAAAAAAAAGTCGAACAAAATTAAAAATCATAAATAAGACCCAGGTTTGCGGGTGTATAAGAATTACTCTAGTGGAGCCTCCAAGATTGTGGCCTATAGACATTTGTTAAGCCTGAAACTGAACCCATCCCCTGGGGATTAATTTTCAGCTAAACAACAGACAGGCCTATTAAGTGAATTATAATGCCTCGGCAGAATGAACGCCACAGTACAATCAACCACGTAAGACCGCAAGGCAGCATTTGTCCAAAACCAAAGCACAGAAGGCAGGAAGGGAAGGAAAGAACAAATGGAAATGAGGAACTCTAAGAGGACGTGGAACAAGTGATAATACATTGAAAGAATTGCAGTCAGTATCACAAAACATGTATAAACTGTTGAATGGAAAACAAATTTTCTCTGTAAACATTCAACCAAACTAAAATAAAAAGTAAAACAAACAAACAAACAAACAAAAACAAAGAAAGGCACAGGATGGAGATGATGGTAACTCTTTAGTCTCCAGAGCTTCCACAAAGAGGGTCATCATTACTCACCACAGTCTCAGTCCAGCTCTACAGAAAACTTTCTTTTGCTGTTATTTTATTTCTTTGGTCACACAGTTTCAGTTACCTAAACTCTCTGAAATGAATACTGGGGTGATGAACAGCCAAAGGTCAAAGTTGTAGGGAAGATAAAGTTTATCAAATAGTCACAAAGTCAGAAATGAATGCTCTTGCTCTGATGGACTTGGTTGGTGTGTCATACCACTTTCTACTTGAATGAAAAAAATATAAAAATAAATCAGCTATCTGCTCTGTACACAGGGTAGATAGGGACGGGCAACTTAGACATTGGCTACCTAAAATGAGGGGGCAATAAAGGCACGAAGTGACTGGCTTACAAGGTTTCAAGAGGGAGCTTAGCTTAAGAATGTGGGGGGAAAGAAAGAGTCCCCACTGAATAGCTTTCATCTTGTCTAGATGGGTCTGGTGAAAAGAGATGGGGAAAAGATTCATATGATTCAATAGGGAGTAATTGTTATCATGACCAATTGTGACTGTCACAACTGTAAAGGTAGAAGTTTTTTAACAAAAACAGGGGAGTAGTTAATCTTACAGTCCAGAAACAAAGGACCCTAGGACCATCAAGGGAGAAGAATACAAGTGGAATGCAAGGTCTTATCCAGAGAAGCAGTGACACCAGAGATGGAGGCAGAGATGGGGGCATGGAAAGAGGGAGCAACTGTGGAGTCTAGATTCATGGGAAGAGAAGGATTAAGAAAGGCGTCCAGGAGGCAGACTTGCAGAATGTGTCCTTTGTTGGTGTAAACTATTATATATGCCTGAGTGACGTGTTTTTTTATTTTTTTAAAAAAAAAAGCTTAAGCGAACAGAGAAATACAGTTAACTGATGGCACATGGTGGGGATTATTATCTTTGTAATGAAACAAGGTGTATGATTTGTTGAATGTAAAACTGATGATCTGCCCTGTAAACTTTTACTCAATCCACAATAAAGACCTTTAAAAAATATAAATAAATAAATAAATAAATAAATCATAGGAAGAACTCAAGGAATCTCTGGGCTTTGTGGCTTATCTGGTTGAAAGACAGAAAGAATGCTCTGATCACTTCTAGTGGGCATTTCTCCTCTGACCCTGCCGAGGGACTTCTTGGCTGCCACCACAGGAAACTTTCGATGCAATTTAGGCAAATGTTCAAATCTCCCTTAGAGTAAACAAAACTGATTTTCACTGTGGTGCTGTGGATGCACCAGGCTGCAAAGCTTCTGAGCTGCAAGGTCGGTGGTTCAAGCTCACCATCTGGTCCTTGGAAACCCTATACAGGGTTGCACTTAACAACAACATGCATTGCAAAGGATTCAGAAGCACAAGCACAATTAATTTTGCTAGGATTAACAACTCAGTCAAATGTTAGCTTAGTCACACTCCCCAAGGAGATGAATACTTAGGTGGTGGTGGTGTGCCATCAAGTCAGTTTCAACTCACAGCGACACTGTATAGGGTTTCCGAAGCTGTAAAACTTCAGTTTGAGTCCAGCTTGTAATCCACTATGCTATTAGGGCTTCTTAATTTTCTTACTCAACCAGGCAAGAAAATGATGGACAACTGCCCCTTTGGTTCTATCACAAAATGCATGTCATCCTAGGTAAAAGTCAATTGTAACATCTGAGAGCAAAGAGCAAACAGATAAAACTCCAAATTAACAGAAACTATTCCAAATTAAAACAATTATATTTATTGTTATTGTTATGTCAAGTAAGTTCAACTCAAGTAGGTTCCAACTCATAGTGACCCTTCAGTCAAGTAGGTTCCAACTCATAGTGA